TCCTGGTGACTTGTGCCTCCCAGGGGAGGTGCCCGGGATGAATCAATCCCCCGAAGAAGGGTAGGTCCCTCCGGAAAGTCCTGGTGACTTGTGCCTCCCGCTCTTCTCGGCCATCGAATAGATGAGCTTTTCAAGCATGGGAACAACGGGCAAGGTCCTGTGGGAGGACAAGCTGATGCATTTCAGAACTATCAAGGCTAGTGTGGCTGGAACAGGGCTGGGGGGCTGAGTGGGAGGTGGGCTGGTGGACTCGGAGGCCAAAGTAAGGAATGTGAGGTTTGAGTGTGTGTGTGTGTGTGTGTGTGTGTGTGTGTGTGTGTGTGTGTGTATGTGTGTGTGTGTGTATGAGAGAGACAAAGAGAGATACACAGAGAGACAGACACACACACACATATACATATCTATCTCTATATATGTATATATATAGAGAGAGAATCTGCATGTTTACAGTTCCATATGTAGAGGTCAGAGGTCAACCTTAAGTCTTGTTCCTCAGATGCTGTCCATCTCGTATTTTGGCCTGGATCTCATAGGTTAGCCAGTGAGCCCCAGGGATCCACCTGTCTCCCCCCGCCCCCCACCTCTTCATCGCCGGAATTGTGAGCGTGCACCACCTTGCCCAGCTTCTTTTACGTGGGTTCTCAGGAATGAAAGCCAATCCTTGTGCTTGTGAAGCATAAGGCAAGCACTTTACTGACACACTGCCCCAGCTCAGGCCTTGCTCCTCTGCCCACTCGCTGCGCTAGGGTGGTAGTGGGGACTTGACAGTTGTCCAGGGCAGAGGGTGGTGCAGCCGTGGCCCGGCAGGAACCAAGGGCTGAGGGCAGAAAGGGGAACGATGTGGTGGGACAGGCGCTGAGCACAATGTCTGCTGTTTCTGAGCCTCCCACAGGAGCAAATGCTGAGCAAGGGGATCCTGGAGGAGGGGGGGCACCGGGTCTCTGGATTCGAGACCAAGTTTACCATCTCATTCTGTGTGACCCGGGGTGAATCCGTGAGCTCCAGCTCCCTAATCAGTCAAAAGAAGAATTCATACAAATGGCAGAAGAACATCTCTTCCTGAGAGACAAGCTCCCCCTTTTACTGGCACCAGGCTTCAGCCTTTCCCTTCTCCTAGCACAAGGCTCCTGGGAAAATTCTAATTTCTTGAGGACCATCATTTCAATAGTCAAAGGGAGGGGTATAAGTGTTTCTTTTTAAAAAAAATATTTCTTTTATTTTTGATATTATGATATAATGACACATTTTCCCCTTTCCTTTCCTCCCTCCAAACACTCTCATATACCCTTCCTTGCTCCCTTTCAAGTTCATGACCTCTTTTCTCATTAAGTGTTTATACACACACACACACACACACACACACACACACACACACACACACACACACACACATATATACATGTATATTCCTAAATGTATAAAATCAGCCTGGTCAGTCTATATAATGTTACTTGTACGTATGTTTCCAGGGCTGACCATTGGCATTGGATAACCGTAACTAGTCGACGTGCTCTTCCCCGAGGAAGACTGTTTCTCCCGTCTCAGCATCCTTAGCTACCTTTAGTTCTTTGCATAGGGTTGAGTCCTCGTGGACTTTCCTCCTCAAGTGTCTCTTTAGAATGTCTTCATTCCTGCCAGGGTGAATATACTGTTGTTCCAGAAGCCAGGAGCCCCAAGGTGTCTAGGGTGGTAAGACCCCCACATATATTAGTGATGGGTGTCCTGTTTGCCTGGCAGTCCGGCAGGACTGTGTCTGCCCCCCACCCCATGGAGGAATGGCCTCCCTGGACTCTAGCACTTTTCTGTGCTTCCTGAGGCCCCTGCTCCTTCAGGTCCAGGGTGGCATCTCCTCCCAGGAGCTGAAGGGACAGAGAGGAGGTCACTGTCCTCAGATGCTGCCACTATTTTTGGAGTTGTGTTGGTCCCAGGTCTGGGGCATGTGGGTTGTGCCAGGCTAAGAGCCGAGTCTGGTTGGAAGCTTCTAGAACTGTGGAGAGTGCTGCCATCTCTGAATACTCAATCATTAGCTTCGGGGTCCTCTCTAGGCACCCTCCTCAGCTTTGAACCTCAGGGAGGACCTCTGTACTCCGAAAGAAGTACTCCCCCTACCCCATCATCCCAGCAGTTAGATCAAAAGTTCAAGATACACAGTGAGTTCAAAGCCAACCTGGGCTACATGAGATTCTCTCTCAAAAAGATGGAAAAACAATAAAATCTCTGATAACAAGGCTGGGAGCATAGCTCCCTGGTAGAATGTCTGAGGCAAAGGGATCCATTCCCCTAAACCATCCATATGTACGTACAATGATAAATATGTTCATATGTAAAGTGAGTACCATATTTAAACTACTTACATGTTTGCATGTAAACACATCTATCTCTACACATACTTACACAATTATAGACACATATCTATAGATATATTTTCTACATATACTGTAAATACTTGCTAGTAATATTTATAATTGAAGTTATATGTCTATATTCACATACATTTTTGCATCAGATATTTATTTGTTACTATTAATTAATTAATTATTGAGAGTGGGTCTCATGTATCTCAGGCTGGCCTTGAACATGCTAGAAGGTTGTCCTCCTGCCTCCATTTCCTAAGTACTGGGATGGGATTATGGGTATGCACTGAAGTTCCCCCCTGAGACAGAGTGCTATTTGTAGCCCGGAACTCACAATGTAAAACAAGCAGGCCTTGAATTTTTGTTGATTCTTCTGGCTCTGCCTACTGAGTGCTGAGATTATAGGTGTGTGCAACCATGCCTGGTTCATTTTAACCTTGTTTAATCCTTTTTTTTTCTTTTCTTTCATTCTTTATTTGAACTTTCCCCATTTATTGTGTGCATGTATGTGATGTGTATGCGGGAGCTGATTCTCTCCTCTGTGTAGGGTTTGAGAATTAAACTCAGGTCACCAGGCTTGTGGGGAAATGCCTTCACTACCCAGCCACCCTTTCTTCCTTAAAAAAAAAAAAAGATTTCAATGAGTGTGTGTGTGTGTGTGTGTGTGTGCGCGTGCGTGTGTGCGTGTGTGCGTGCATGTGTGTGTGTGTGTGCTCGCGCGCGCGTGTGTGCATGCGTACGTGCGTGTGCGCATGCGTGTGTGCGTGCGTGCGTGTGTGTGTGCGTGCATGTGTGTGTGTGTGTGTGTGTGTGTGAGCGCGCGTGCGCGTGCCCGCACAGGTGTCCTCAGGGCAAGAAGAGACCATTGAAGGCAGTTGTAAGCCACCCAATGTGGGGGCTGGGAATCTGATTCAGGATCCAGGTCCTCTTGAAAGCACAGAATGCTCTTAACCTCTGAGCTATTTCTCCAAACCCTTCCATTTTTGCTTTCTTAATTTTTTTTTAGATTTTTAAATTTTATTTTTGTATATGACTATTTTGCCTGCATGTATGACCTCAGGCCAATAGGTCAAACAGCATCAGATCCCCTGGAGCTACAGATGGCTGTGAGCTGCCATGTGGGTGCTGGGAATTGAACCAGGGTCCTCTGGAAGACTAGCAAATGCTCATAACTGCTGAGCCATCTCTCCAGCCCCCACTTTCACTTTTTGATTGTGTCTATTAAAGCCACAAAGCCTCCAGTAATATCTAGTTCATTTTTTATTTTGGTATCACAACTAGGGAAGCATTCCCTAGCATTGCCTACCTCGAGGTCACAGGATTTATTCCTGCAGATTTTGTTTTGTGATCCGAGGGGCAGAATCCAGGGCCAACCACATGCCCTCCATCAGTGAGCTAAGTTCCCAGCCTGAATTTGTATAAATATATGGGTCTTTTATTACTGGACTTAATTATTAGCACTAAGTGTGTGTGTGTGTGTGTGTGTGTGTGTGTGTGTGTGTGTGTGTGTGTGTGGTGTGTATGTGTAGGGCGGGGAGAGATATTTCAAGGTTTCTTCAGGTAAGATCATGTAGTCTATAAATAGAAATACTTTCACTCTCTTTCAAACTGAATTCCTGGCCTGAACCTGAACTGTGGTTTTAAATAGAAGGAGAACTCACACCTGAGTCTTATTTCTGACTTGCTGGGCCAATATTCAGTCTTTCACTCTAGAGTAGAAGTTAACTATGGGTTTTTTCCTATGTGGTGGTTTTTTTTTTAAATCAGGAAGGGGTGCTGCATTTTATCAGGTCCCCTATCTCTCTTTCTCTTTGTCTGTCTGTGTCTCTGTCCCTTTCTCTCCCATCTGCAGGGCCGTCGTGTAACTTGGCTCAACACTCAGCAGTTAGTTCTCATCCACGTTGCCTGCCGCCTTTGTATGTGGGAACTGGGTCATAGGTAACCAGATTACAGAGCTTGTTTGGAGAATCCTCACATTACGTTTTCTGGACAAACATGCATGCAAAGGATATGGAACATTCCTTCTTAATGTGCACATCTGGAGTCCCATGTCCTTAATGCAAATGTCCAGATTTCTCTGAGGGCCTGAGGATCATGCTCCTTGAAGCCACCCACCCCACGGATGCTCATGTCAGGGTTGGTGGTGTCTTCCCAGTAACGTCTTAGGGGTGGCAGAGCAGCTGTATTTGTCTGGAAATCGTTCTCTGCAGGAGCCATTCTGCCTGGCCAGGTTAGAAAGGCCCAGGTACTTTTTCTTTCAGTGTTGAGCTAGGAACTGGCCCAGGCTGTCACCCCTGCCAGAGGAAGCTGCAAGGCTGCTTTGGACTGCAGAATGAGTTCAAGGCCAAGCTGACCAACTTAGGGAGACCCTGTCTCAAAATAAAAAGTGAAGAGGTCTGAGGATGTAGCTCTGTGTTAGAGTACTTGCCCAGTTGGGTTCAATCCTCAATGCCACCAAAATAAATAAGCAAACAAACAAATAAATACATAAATAAATGAAAAATTCGAAAAGTGTGCTCACAGGGCCTCTGTGTACCACTGCTCTGAAAAGGAGCCGAGATGTGTGTGTGCTGTCATTACGGCTGGGTGCTTCTGTCTATCCCTCTCAGGAAGGAAGTGCTGCTCTCACTGTCCCTCTGTCCACAGGCCTACGAGAAACGCTTCCCCACCTGCCCTCTCATTCCCGTTTTCCTGGGTAGCGAAATCCTGGGCGAGTGGAGAAGCGCGGATGGGGCCGTGCACACGGTGGAGAGGAGCTGCCGGCTGCGTGTGGACGCCCCGCGGTTGCTGCGGAAGGTGGGCTGGGGTGTGCGGGGGTGAGGGTGGGGTGGGGGGTATGAAAGGAGGCGCTTGAGTCTTGAGATCTGGGAGGGCTAGCAGCCAGGGAGCCCAGGTGCAGGGTCTGGGAACCAGAACTAGGTGAGAATTCAGGGATGGGGAGTGGGGTGCAGGTCTCAAAAGTTTGGGTGGAGGTGGCTAGGTGTCAGTGGGGAGAGGGCCGGGCCAGGCTGCCTGGTGGCAGGACAAAGGACCCCTGATAGATGCGTGGATGGGGGAACTCTTTGCTTGATGGTGGTGGCTGTATAAAGCACTGAGGGTCTTTAGGGTGGAAGTTATTTGGGCAAGGTTGAGTATCTGCCCAAGGAACCTGAATTCTGTGCTAGGTGTGGCCTGAGCCCGTGTGGATGGTGGCGGGAGCAGGAGTCGTCCCACCCAGGCTGGTGTCTCTTGTTGGATTGGGTGGCAGAGGGAGCAGGGTGTCTGTTTCTACTTTGGGGATAACACAGGCCAGGCTAGGGAGTGACAGGAGATGGAAGTTGAAGTCCCAGCTAAGGGGTAACCCAGGCTGTGTGGGAGCGGGAGCAGGGTTCAGGGATCAGGGTGGGTGACCTGCGGGCTAGCTCCTCTTCCTTGGGCTCCTCATTCGCAGATCGCTGGTGTGGAGCATGTGGTCTTTGTGCAGAGAAACGTCCTAAACTGGAGAGAGAGGACACTGCTGATAGATGCCCACAATGAGACCTTTGCGAGCCGAGTGACCGTGAAGGAGAACTGCCGCTACACAGTGAGCTTGCCTGGCCTACCTGTGGCCCTGAGGCTGTCCGGGGCTGGGCCCTGTGTGTCCCTCCAGTCTCCCCTCCCCATGTGCTCCTGGACCCTCGGGAGTGGGTTTTATTCTCTCCTTTTTTTAGACCGAATGTCATGATGTAGCCCAGGCTAGCCTGGAAACTTTCTATTCTTCTGTCTCAGCCTCCTGAGTGCTGGGATTATAGGTGTGTGTCACCATACCCAGCTAAGATTTCTTTTAATTGCTGACATATTCAAATATACTTATGGACATATAAGGACATTTAATGTCTTTATATATAAGTATATAACAATTATTGAAATATCTAAACATATATTGATAATTTGTATTATATAAATGATCTGAGAATTGCGCATATACAATTTTATCTCTTTGTGTATGTAATTTTCTTTTCTTTCTCTCTTTCTTTTTTTTTTTTTTTTTTGTTTTTTTGAGACAGGGTTTCTCTGTAGTTTTGATGCCTGTCCTGGATCTTGCTCTGTAGACCAGGCTGGCCTCGAACTCACAGAGATCCGTGCTGGGATTTAAACCCCTGCTGGAATTAAAGGCGTGTGCCACCACCGCCAGCCCTTCTTTTTTTGAGACGGGATTTCTCTATATAGAACTCACTATGTAGATCGGGCTATCCTGGAGTTTTTGATTCTCTTGTTCAGTCTCCTGGATTATAGGTGTGCACCACCACGCCCAGCTGGAGAAAGGGCTCTTTGCTCCCTGCGGTTAGACTTCGCATCGTTGTCTGGGTGGGAAATGCTGTCCACAGCAGGCTCTGGTGGCCAGGACGGCCTCTGGAGGGAGCACAGCACCCCCACACTGAGGCCCTGCCGTGGCCCCTGCCCGTCTTGCAGGTCCATCCTGAGAATGAAGACTGGACTTGCTTTGAACAGTCGGCCTCCCTGGATGTCCGGTCTTTCTTCGGCTTTGAAAGCACCTTGGAGAAGATCGCCATGAAGCAGTACACCGCCAACGTCAAGAGGGTGAGGGCGACTGTGCTAGCCACAACGCGGAGGGGCGCAGACCCGCTCTGCCGCCAACAACCCCGGGACCCTGGGCAACAGCCCCGCCCTTCCTGCCTCAGTCTTCGTCTTTCTAAAATGAACACTGGGTCATGACCACTCAGTGAGGTCACCAGTGGGAAGAACCGGCTTGTACTGGTGGCATCCTGACATTGTCCCAGCACCTCCAAGCTGCTGCAGCAAGTTCCAGTCTGGGCTACGGAGCCAGTTCAGGGCCAGCCTAGGCAACTCAGTGAGGCAAACAGCTGGAGGCATAACTCAGTAGTGGAGCGCTTGACTAGCCCTGGCTTCAGTTCCCAGAACCAGATCAGGAAAAGGAAAAAGTGTCACTGAGGCCAGGGGCATGACTTAGTGGTGCAACACCTGCCTAGAATCCACCAATGAGGGGCTGAGGGTGTGGCTCAACCGTAGAGCCCCTGCTTAGAATCCACCTCCCCTCCCCTCCCCTCCCCTCCCCTCCCCTCCTCTCCTCTCCTCTCCTCAGAGTTGGTGTGTTGACCTCACAGCACTGCTTGTTCAGTGACATCTTTGGGTCTGTTGCTTCCAGGGAAAGGAAGTAATTGAGCACTACCTGAGTGAGCTCATTTCTCAGGGAACATCTCACATTCCCCGCTGGACACCTGCCCCAGTCCGGGAGGAAGATGCCTGCAGCCGGGTTGTTCACCAGTGTCCCAGCTCCATGGTGACAGACGGCCCCAGTGATGCCCCAGGCCCTGATCCTGAGATGGCCACAGCTGATGGTAGGTGGCTGCAGAGAACCAGTATCCAAGTCTGTGCCCTCACCTCTGGCTCTTGGAAGCCTGCCGCACTGCCCGGCTCCTGGAGAGGAGGGAGAGGTGCTGTAGGTTGCCAGGGTTGGGGACGGTCTGGCACCCACTCAGCCTCCTCCCTCTGCTCCTCAGAGTCGATCTATTTCTAGACCAGGAACTGACCTCTGGTGGTTTGGGGATATTTTTAATTGCGTGAGTAATGCAAGATCATGGTAGCAAACTATCTAAAGGAACTGGAGATGAAGAGTGAGAAGTAAGGACGGAGAGGCGGTTCCGTCAATGAGTGCTTGTCTTGCACACATGACTTGCATCCCCCAGACCCCCCTAAAAAGCCAGCCAGTAATCTTACTACCGGAGAGGTGCCAGCCGAGCCTAATTGGTCCTAACTGGAGAGCCCTAGGCCAGTGAGAGATTCTGCCTCAAACAAAACCAAGGTAGATGGTACCACAGGAGCCACACCTGAGGCTGGCCTTCACACATGTATACACATATACACATGCATCTGTTACACACACATGCGCACACAGACAAACACAAAAGAAAAGGATGAAAGTTTCTTCCCTCTCCCTAGAGTCTTCAATAGTTTTGTGTTTTGTGAAGTTACCTAGGGCATATGGTACATGATGGGCACACACCTCCACATGTATGTGCACATGCATGCTCACACTTAGAAAATATGGAACAGGTGGGAGCATGTCATGCACCCTATTTGTACTTTACTATTTCTCACTAATGTTGCAAGAACAGCATGCACACCCTCGCACTTCATAGTACTGTATGAATGCCTTATGCCTTATTTACTAATGTTGGCTCATTATTAACATTATTGTTTGAGACAGAGGCTGGCCCTGGGTTTGGTATGCAGCTGAGGATGACCTTGAACTTATAGGCATGATGCAGGCTATTTTAGCCTGCTTTAGAATTCACTACAAATGATATAGCATGTGAAATCATATAGTGTGTGTGTGTGTGTGTGTGTGTGTGTGTGTGTGTGTGTGTGTGTGTCACGGTGCACATGTAGAGGCCAGAGGACAACTTGGGGGAGTCTTCTTTCCTTCCACCATGTAGATTTTGGGCATCAGACTCAGGTCATCAGGTTTGGTAGCAAATGCCTTTACCTAATGAGTCATCTCACCAACCCCCTAGCTTTCTGTTTGTTTTAAAAACAGGGTCTGAAATAGCCCAGGCTGGCCTTGAATTTGCTATGGAGCTAAGGATGACCATGAACTCCTGGTCCCCCTGCCTTCTTCTTTCTAGTGTTGGCATTACAGGTGTGCATCACTATGCCTGTCTTAGATATGTGTGTGTGTGTGTGTGTGTGTGTGTGTGTGTGTGTGCATATGTGCAAATGTGTGTGTGTTTAAATTACAAATAATGTAGTACATTTTTGTACGCAAGGAATGAAAAAATGTATGTACTATATACATAGTACAGCATCTTTTTATTTTATTTTATTTTTATTTTTGGAGACAGTCTTACCATGTATCCTTTGTAGACCAGGCTGGCCTCAAACTCATAAAGATCAGCCTGCCTCTGCCTCTTGTACATCCCTAGAACCGTGTCTGGCCTTATTTATTTATTTTTGGGATGAATTTATTTTGAGATATTATCTCATGTATCTCAGACTGATTTTTACCTTTTAGTCCTCCTGTGTCTACCTCCCAAGTGCTGAATTTATAGATGTGTGCCACCATGTCTGGGGGCAGTTCAGTCTTTGTTGATGTAGAAAGTGCTCATGATGGGATGTTAAAAACAAAAAGTAAAGGCTGGGGAGATAACAGTCCTCAGAACCTCAGCACAGAGTGTGAGAATCATCGCCACACTGAGACCTGGAGGGAAGGCCCCCAGTGGTAACGTACAGGTTTGCCCAGCATAACTTTTCAAAACCATCTAGATAACGGTTTAGAAAGATGGTTTTGGAGCTCTTATGGCTGTTTCCTGGCTAAGAACCACATTCCAGAGCTCAGACAGTGGGCAAGTAGAGAGGGCCACACAGAGTGTAGGCCATGTGATAAAGACCCACGTCACCAGATAGATATGCCCGCTAGTTTTATGTTAACTTGACACAAACTAGAATTACCTGAAAGGAGGGAACCTCAATTGAGAAAATGCTTCCTTAAGATCTGGCTGTTGGGCATTTTCTTAATTAGTGATTGATGGGGGGTGGGGGAGCTCATTGTGGGTGGGGCTGCCCCTGGGCTGGTGGTCTCTAAGAAAGCAGGCCAAGCCTTGATGAGCAACATGCAACCAGGAAGCAACACCCTTCTGTGGCCTCTGCATCAGCTCCCGCCTCCGAGCTCCTGCCCTGTTTGGGTTCCTCTCTCCTTCCTTCTATGGTGAACACGACATGGAAGTGTAAGCCAAGTAAACCCCAAGTTGCTTTGGTCACAGTGTTTCATCACAGCAATAGTAACCCTAACTAAGACGCCAGATATGGTGGCACATACCTGTAGCCTGGCACTCAAGAGGTGTAGGTAGGAAGATCAGGAGCTCAAAGATAGCCTCTGCTACATGGTATATCTGAAATCTAGCCTAGGTACATGAGACCCTGTCTCACAAAAAAAGAAAAAAAAAAAAAAGGAAAAGAGAAGGAGACAGAGGATGCCCCCTCTTCCCCGCCCTGAAATCCTCATTTTTCCCTCCATCAAGGGGACAAGCTGGATGCAGACTACATCGAGAGGTGTCTGGGCCATCTCACGCCCATGCAGGAGAGTTGCCTGGTCCAGCTTCGGCACTGGTTACAGGAGACTCACAAAGGCAAGGTGGGTGTGGGGCGTGCACTTAACGACAGGAATCAGCCAAGGCAGCGGGGAGGAACGATAAGCAAGCTTATGCTATCAGTAACACTAAAAATTGACATTTTCATTCATTTCTGGTACATCTGTCCTGTCTGTCCTTTACACATACTGATGGCACCACCCTCCTGCTAGTGATGTTCTTTGGAGAAGGTGTTTATTATGTGTATTGTAGGATGCCTGGTAGCATCCCTAGTCTCCAGTCAGTAGATGCCAGTACCTTGCCTCATTCAGGTATGACAATTCGAAATGGTCCTTGGCATGGGCATATGTCCCCTGGGGACGTGTGTGTGTGTGTGTGTGTGTGTGTGTGTGTGTGTGTGTGTGTATGCATGTGTGCACACACACTCTTGTGCAACTGAGAATTATAGCTATATAGTACCATGCTCATTTGACCATGGACACTGTCCTTTTCTCAGAGTCTTATGACTTAATAAGAGTGATAGCTGATTGTCTAGATTTTGCCTCCAAGCACTCGTTCCAGTAACAGGGGTGTACACCATATACCTCAGTCCCAAGCAGGATCAGAACTTGTTGCTTAGCATGGATCACTTACCTTTCCCTCCCCAGCCCTGGAGCCAGACGAGAGAGTTGCTCAGTGTTGGCCTGTGGTATAACCGGCCTGCTTCCATGTCTGCAAATGTAAAACGGGGACATTGTTCATACAGTGTGGGTCGCACCAGATCCTTAGGGTGGAATCTGGCTCAAAGGAAGAACCCCAGAAAAGACAGCTTGTACTAGGATTGGTTTTACCTACATATGGTATTGGGAAAAGAGGAGGAGTTGAAGGGGGAGGGGAGAGGAGGGAGGGAGAGGAGGAGGAGTTACCCCAAGGAAAGATGCTATTTCCAAGACAAAGAGGGAGGGATGCTAGGCAGCCACAGTGCACAGCTGTTCACCCCCCAACCCCCACGCCCCTGGTTTCTCTTTGCTTGGGCTACTTTTCCCAGCTCCTTTGCAGATGAGGTAAGGGACCATTCCTGTCACTTTACCTGAAGGGTTGGCAGTACCATTCTGTGGTCTTATCTCTTCTCTGTCTCTCAGATCCCCAAAGATGAGCACATCCTGCGCTTCCTGCGGGCACGAGACTTCCACCTGGACAAGGCCCGAGACATGTTGTGCCAGTCCCTGAGCTGGCGGAAGCAGCACCAGGTGGATCTCCTTCTGCAGACCTGGCAGCCCCCTGCTCCCCTGCAGGAGTTCTATGCCGGAGGCTGGCACTACCAGGACATAGGTGCGTCCCACACCTGAGCCATGTGTGAATGCCGAGGATGCTCTAAAGGATGCACCCCATGCTGGCATCTCAGGTTCCCTTGTAGATTTCTGGGGCATCTGGAGATACTCGTGATGTGTCACCCAGCTGTGCAGGAGGTGGGATAGGCATAGATTTTGGTCTTGGGAAGATGTTTCTGCCGCAGGGCCATCATACGTCATACTCTCGTCAATTAGTATGGATTTATTTAGGCAGCCATCGCCAACTGGAACTAAAACAGCAGATGCCAGCTCTGGAGGGTGGAAGTCTGGGATTCAGAAGACAGCAGTACTAGGGATGTGGCTATCCAGTTGGTGGAGGGCTGCCTAGTGTGCACAAAGCCTTAGATTTGATCCCCAGCACTTCACAGATCTGAGTTTGGTGGGACACATCTGAAATCCCAGCACTCAGGAGGTGGAGGTAGGAGGACCAGAAGTTCGAGTTTATTCTCAGCTATATAGTGAGTTGGAAGCCAGCCTGGACTAGAGATCCTGTCATTCATAAACAAACAAACAAACAAATAAACAGATGGAATCAAGAAGCTCTAGGGGAGAGTCCTACCCCACCTCTCTCAGCTTTTGATGGCCCCCGAGTTTGTGGCTGCATTGTTCTTAATTTCTGCTCCCACTTGGCATGCTCTTCCCTGTGGGTAGCTCTGCATGTCCCTTCCCCACCTCACAGGAGCCCTAGGTCATTTAGAACCCACCACACATCCATCCTGACGTCATCTTGAGATCCTTAATTGACGTCTGCAGCTCCATTTACAACTTAGGTCCCATCTGAAGGTTCTGGTGGACATACGTTCTTGGGGGACACTATTCTTCCTTCTGTGGGTACCATTTCCAGATTTAAAAACTATAGAGCTGTGAAGCCAGTGACTGCTGTGTTCTTTAAGGTCTTTTATGAAAAATAGTGCACATGCTGATGACGGCAAATGCTTGGTTCTCCTGAAGAACAGGCCAGGGTGGTTTCTTAACACATAGTTGACTCCTTATTTATGGCTTCCATATTTGTGAACTCTCTCTACTTGCTAGTTTGAAATCCTCAACTCTAGGAGTTTGCTCAAGGACATGTGTAGAATGGTAAAAATTTTCAGTCCTCTGAGGGGCTGGGGAGAGGGCTCAGTGAAGTGCTGGCTGTGCAAGATGAGGCCCCGAGTTCAATCCCCAGCACCCACTGGAGAGCCAGGTACTGTGTTTGTAGTCTCAATGATGTGGAGACAGGGGCTATCTGTGGCTCACTGTGGAGATGGGGCTATCTGAGGCTCACTGGCCAATCTAGATAAATTGGTGAGTTCTATGTCTAACAAGAGATCCTGTCACATAAAAAACATGATGGACACTGGGCGATGGTGGCGCACACCTTTAATCCTAGCACTCAGGGGGCAGAGGCAGGATATCTCTGATTTCGAGGCCAGTCTGCTGTACAGAGCGAGTTCTAGGACAGCCAGAACTACACAGAGAAACCCTGTCTTGAAAACAAAAATGAATAATCATGATGGAGAATGAATGAATGAATGAATAAACTAACTAAATAAATAAAAGATATAGAGGATGACATCTGATGTTGACCTCTTGCCTCTATACTCACTCGCACACATATAACACACACACACAGAAAGTCATCTGGCATGCACACGCACACATGCACACACAGTCATCTGGCACACACACAGTCAACTGGCACACACACATGCATGCGCTCGCGCACACACACACACATGCACACACGCACACACAGTCATCTGGCACACACACACATGCACACACACAGTCATCTGGCACACACAGAGTCATCTGGCACACACACACGCACACACAGTCATCTGGCACACACACACATGCACACACACAGTCATCTGGCACACACACATGCACACGCACACACACAGTCATCTGGCACACACACATATGCACACACACAGTCATCTGGCACACACACATGCACACACACACACACACAGTCATCTAGCACACACACATGCACACACACACACACAGTCATCTGGCACACACACATGCACACACACACACACACACACACACACACACACACACACATACACAGTCATCTGGCACACAGGATCTCTGTTGAGGTTGACCAAGCCCATGTTGTGTCTTCTTTTTTTCTTTCTTTTTGGAGACAGGGTTTCTCTGTGTAGTTTTGGTGCCTGTCCTGGATCTCACTCTGTAGCCCAGGCTGGCCTCGAACTCACAGAGATCCGCCTGGCTCTGCCTCCTGAGTGCTGGGATTAAAGGTGTGCGCCACCACCGCTTGACGTCTTCTTTTTTTCTTAAACTTTATTTTATATATATGGGTATTTTGCCTGCATGCATGTCTGTGCAGCACATGTGTGCCTGAAGAAGGTGTTGGATCCCCTGGAACTGGAGCCACAGACAGTTGTGAATGGCTGTGTGGGTGCTGGGATTGAACCTGGGGCCCCTGGCAGAACAGCCAGTGTTCCCAAACCCTGGGCCATCTCTCTAGCCCATCTATCTTGTGTCCGCTTCATTCTAAACAAGTGTCCTTTTCTTGTGCCTTACTTGTGACATTTTTGTGTTTTGTAAAGATTTATTTGTGTGTGCACGTGCGTGTGCGTGTGCGTGTGTCCCCACAGAAGCCAGAAAAGGCCTCGAATCCCTTGGAGCTGGAGTTACAGGCAGTTGTGGCTGCCTGCTGTGGGTGCTGGGAACTGAACTCTGGACCTCTGAAAGAACAGTGTTTTTTGTTTTGTTTTGTTTTGTTTTTTTGATGGCTTGAGCCATCTCTCCACCTCCCAATTTTTGAATTTTTTTGTCTTGTTGTTATTTTGCCATTTAAAATGAGTAGCAGTGCTGTGCCTGGTAGTTTAGGTCTGACATCCCAGCTACTTCAGAGGCTGTGGCAGGATTACAAGTTTAAAACCTATGTTGGCTACAAAGGGAAGTCAGGCTGGCCTGGGAACCTAGTGAGACCTATTTCAAAACATAAAGTGAACGGAGACTGGAGATGTGACTTGGTGGTGGGGCCTCTGCCTGCAGGAGGCTCTGGGTCCCAGCCTGAGCACCACAACAGGGGACAGACAGACAGACAGACAGACAGAATAGTTTGGAGCACAGGGCTGAAGCTTTGGTTCCTGCATGCAGGACCTTCTGTAGAAGACACCTTGCAGGAGGCAAGGTATCTGGTGATAAGGAGGAAAAATGGGACACAGCACCCAAAGGGACCCAACTCCACATCCCCGGAAGTCATGGCGGACCATTCTCTAATCTAGGGTTCAGGCGGCTTGAACACAACTCTCACACATGCATGTGTGAGTGTGGAGACAAGACGGATACCTTACTGTTTGATGTGGGTGTCTCACTGAACCGGGGGCGCAAAGATCGGAGTGTAGGAGGCTGGCTGGCCAGAAGCCCCAGGGACTGTTCTGTCTCTCACTCCCCAGCACTGGGATTAGGACTCCATGTTATCAAGCTGGCCTCAAACTTACAGAGACATACCTGTGTCTGCCTCCTGCTGGGACTAAAGGTGTGCACCACTGTTCCTTCACTGAGCAATCTTTCCAACCCTAAACAAACAAACAAACAAACAAACAAGTGCAGTACTGATTTCAGTTTTAGGCAGAAAAAGTGTCAAGATGGTGCGGGTGTCCCCACACCCAACTTAGGCCACCCCCTCCAATTTTGAATGTGTCTTTGTGTTCAGTTTTCCTAAGGGGTGGCCAGGTGCTCTCAGAAGCAGACACAGTAAGCGTACGGGGTCCCTTGGTGAGCCTCCAGCATGATCTCAGCTCCTAAGAGGAGAGTTAAGTTCTTGTGTAGCTTTGACGGGTTCATGTCAACACTCCCCTAAAAGACGTCTCTTCTCTTTGCTGGGCTCCGCCCACCCGCAAAGATGGCCGCCCCCTCTACATCCTGCGCCTGGGCCAGATGGACACCAAGGGCCTGATGAAGGCAGTGGGCGAGGAGGCGCTGCTGCAGCATGTGAGTGGGTCCTTCGCTGGCGTCGGGGGCCTGCGGGCGGAGCGGCGTAGTCAGCAGTTGTCAGTACCATGCCTGCCTTCTAGGTTCTTTCTGTCAACGAGGAAGGACAGAAGAGATGCGAAGGGAACACGAAAGAGTTTGGCCGTCCCATCAGGCAAGAACCCGAGTTGCTGGCAACCCCCTCAAAGCAGGCTAGCTAACGCTGACTGCGCATGTGGGTGGCCAGGTAGCCGGCTCGGCGCTGTGGGACAGTGCTATCCCCTAGTTCTTACAGTGATCCGGTGAGGCAGGGCCCCTGTCCTGGGTTTTGCTGGTGGAGAAACCGGAGCTCTGGCTGAGCTAATTTGAACTGCTCCCTTTGAAAAGCTTCATAGCGCCTTTGCTTCCTAAGGCCAGCCTTCCTCCTCAGCTCCAACGGGGCCTGTCTCCACTGTCTTCCTCTTCCTCTGGCACATTTCCACTCCTGGGCTGAGTAACCTACAGCCTGTGAAAGTGTCCTGTGTCCCAGCCTTGCCCTCCTGAGCCCTTTTCTCCATCCCGCGTGTCTGGGGGAGGGTGGTGGTGGGGGGCAGTGCTGGAGGCCCCCGTAGGTGGCAGAGTCAGGTAGAGCCCGACGGCCGGTGTCTGCCACAGCTCCTGGACTTGCCTCCTGGACCTGGAGGGCCTCAACATGCGGCACCTGTGGAGGCCGGGGGTGAAGGCCCTGCTGCGGATGATCGAGGTAGTGGAGGACAACTACCCGGAGACCCTGGGCCGGCTGCTCATCGTGCGTGCGCCTCGCGTATTCCCGGTGCTATGGACGCTGGTGAGATCAAGGGCGAGAGAGGGGGCCACACAGCGGGTGAATCCTCTACCTGAGTGATCCTAAGGCACAGATCTGCCGAGATGATGCGGATCCAAGGTTGTCAGGGTCCTTTCCAGGAGATGGAAACATAACTGGATTATGGGAGGGGTTTTTATGACGTGGTGAATGTCCTAAAAGCCTGTAAATCCTGCACTTTTTGTTTTTGTTTGTTTGTTTTCGAGACAGGGTTTCTCTGTGTAGTTTTGAAGCCTGTTTTGGAACTCGCTCTGTAGACCAGGCTGGCCTCAAACTTACAGAAATCCTCCTGGCTCTGCCTCCCAAGTGCTGGGATTAAAGGCGTGCGCCACCACCGCCCGGCGAATCCTGCACTTTTTAATTTTATGTTTTTGTGCATAGGTGTGTATTCACGTGGGTGCCCATGTGTGTCAGGTGCATGTGCACACAGGTGCGTTCATGTGGCAATCAGAGGTTGACTTTGGGTGTCCTTCCTCAGGAGCTTTCCATCTTGGTTTTTGAGACAGGGTCTCTCATAGAACCTGGAGCTCACTGATTGGGCTAGACAGCTGGCCAGAGAGTCCCAGGGATTCACTTATCACTGCCCACCTCAAGCCCCAAGCTCTGGGTTTACAAATGGGTGCCATCAAACCCAGCTGCTTTTTTTTTTTTTTAACGTGTGCGTTCTGGAGATCCACATTCTATTCCTCACGCTTGTGTGACAAGCACCTTACTGTCTGAGCCATGTCCCCAGCCTGAATCATTCACTTTTAAAAGATCAAATCAACCAGATGTAGTGGTGTACACCTTTAATCCTAGCACTCAGGAGGCAGAGGCAGGAGGATTTCTGTGAGTTCTAGGCTAGTCAGATCTATATATTGAGTTTCAGGACAGCCAGGAGACTACATGGTGAGACCCTGTCTCAAAAGAAAAGAAAAGAAAAGAAAAGAAAAGAAAGAAAGAAAGAAAGAAAGAAAGAAAGAAAGAAAGAAAGAAAGAAAGAAAGAAAGAAAGAAAGAAAATCAAGTCAGGGCTGGTGGTAGCATCCAGCAGGTAAGACTGCCTGATGATTGCAAGTTTAGGTTAATATATTTATCACCAGGATGTCTTTTTCACTTAATAATACTTTCTTGACATAAAATAGCTATATATTTTTTAATTTTTAGTGATTTATTTTTATTTTATGCACATTGGTGTTTTGCCTGCATGTGTGTCTGTGTGTGGATGTCAGATCCCCTGAAACTGGAGCTACAGACAGTTATGAGCTACCATGTAGGTGCTAGGAATTGAACCTGGGTCCTCTGGAAGAGGACCTTGACCTTTAAGCCAACTCTCCAGCCCTAAAATAGCTAAATTTTAAATTGATATGATTTCCTTTAAGTTTTTTTATCTTTTTAAAAAAATTGTTTTAGCTTCTTTTTTAAATTTTATTTTAAGCCGGGTGGTGGTGGCACACACCTTTAATCCCAGCACTTGGGAGGCAGAAGCAGGCGGATCTCTGTGAGTTCGAGGCCAGCCTGGTCTACCAAGTGAGTTCCAGGAAAGGCGCAAAGCTACACAAGAGAAACCCTGTCTCGAAAAACCAATAATAATAATAATAATAATAATAATAATAATAATAATAATAATTTTATTTTAAGTTTTTTATCTTGTTCAACTCTAAAGGAGTGGTATAAATGTACACAAGCTCAACTTCTGTGGTTTTGGTATGTCCCCCCCCTTTTATAAACTAGGATTTCATTTAACCCAAGCTAGCCTCAAATTCACTATTGACCCAAAGATAACCTTAAACGTCTAATCCTCCTGCTTCTGTCACCAAAAGTGTTGAGATTATGGGATGCACCACCATGCCTAGTTTATGCTGTCTTGGGATGGAGTCAGGGCTGGTGACAGGGCTCAGCCGGGAAGAGTGCCTGTGGCCAAGCCTGGCCACCCCAGTTCAATCCCTACGACACATTCAGGAGGAGACGAAGAACTCCCAAAAGCTGTCCTCTGACTTCCACAAATGCCCACCCCAAAATAAATACATGTAAAAAGTGCTTTTAAAGAGATCAGTTTTGAGCTATGTCTGGTGATTCATGCCTGTAGCCAAGCAAGAAGAGGCCAAGGCAGGAAGAACCCCAGTTTGATGCCAATCTGAGCCACAGAATGAAACCCTTCTCAAAACAAAGCAAAAAACCCTTAAACCAAAAAATATAATAAAATAAAAATAAACACAACCAAACCAGAAATAAAGTGAAATAAAGCTCTCTAACTTTCCCTTGCCCCGCCCCCAGGTCAGCCCCTTCATCAATGAGAACACCAGGAGGAAGTTTCTCATCTACAGTGGCAGCAATTACCAGGGCCCTGGGGGCCTGGTGGACTACCTGGACAAGGATGTGATCCCTGACTTCCTCGGAGGAGAGAGTGTGGTGAGTCTGGCTGCTGGTCCTGGGTCCCAGAAAGGAGCGGGGCAGGAGCCTGGGAACCCAGACTCCTGGGGCCAGGAAGCTGATGAAGAGCACCTTAGTGATCCCCCCACGCACTCTCACCAAGGACACGTTGGCTTTAAGGCTGGTTGTAGAAGCTTCCTCAGAGAGGCGACATCTCTTGAGGTGGGCCTTCCTTTGGTTCTTTTAAAGGCAGTGAGGGCTGGAGAGGTGGTGCAGCATTTAAGAGTACTTGCTGGAGCTGAAGAGATGGTTCAGCAGCTAAGGGCACTGGCTGCTTTTCCAGAGGACCTGGATTTGATTCCCAGCACCTACATGGTGCCTCACAACTAGCTGTAACTCCAAGTCCCAGGGGATCCAACACCCTCTCCTGGCCTCCATAGGCACCCTGTGCATGTGGTACATAAACAAACCTACAGGCAAAACACCCATACACATAAAAATAAATGTTAAAGATTTTCAAAAACAACAGTTGCTACAATTATAAGGACTGGGGCTTGGATTCCAGCACTCACATTGTAAGGAAGGAATTCACAAATGTCACAAATCCAGGACAGGCAGATGTAGGACAGAGACAGCTTGCTGGCTTCTAGCCTTATCAAGAGAATTGAGCCCCAGATTCAGTGAGAGTCTCTGTCTCAAAGTGATCGACAGTGTGGTGTGAGATCCCTAGTGCCCTCTTTTGGCCTTCTACCCATATGTGTGACGTGTGCATAAATCCGCACACACATAAATTAAATAAATAAACACATCTTTTAAAAGGGAGTAAGTGAGCCCAGCCCAGTCCATGGCCACTCCACCTGGGATGCGTAGGGAAAGCAGTATCCAGACTCTCTTACGGCTCCCAGGAGTGTGAGTCTGGTCCTGCTCTCATCCCCAGGCCATCTGTGGGCACACCCGTCGTCCCCCAGCACAGACACCAGGCAGCAAGCCGCTTGTCGGTCAGATGGTTTTCTTAGGACCTCTGTCCAGCTTGACTGTGCTCTGCTCTTGTGATACAGACGTATGATTTCTTCTTGGGCGACCGGCCTACATCTCTCAAGGACTTACTGAAGGACCACGGGCAAGGACGGGACTCTGTTATCCTCCCCCAAACTTTTGTTTTCAAAGTGAATTAAGGAAAACTGTTGTGTGTTGGTGTTTGGGGTCTGGGGCTTGGCCACCAGGGCACCTTTACCCGGCTGGGGACACCTAGAGAACCAGACAGACCCGGCACTGGTCAGGTCCCACTGCTGAAGGAAAGATGCTGCCCCCACTCTGAGTGTGCTACAGAAGGGGGAACCACACCTAGCCAGACACCATGAAGAGGGCTAGGAGAGCAGGGGTCTTTCCCCCCTTACTGTGTGTGTGTGTGGTATGTGTGTGGTGTGAGTGTGTGTGTGGTATGTGTGTGTGGTGTGTGTGAGTGTGTGTGTGGTATGTGTGGTGTGTATGAGTGTGTGGTGTGTGTGAGTTGGTGTGAATGTGTGTGTGTAGTGTGTGTGAGTGTGTGGTGTGTGTATGTGTGAATGTGTGTGTGTGCAGGATGTATGTATGAGTATGTGTGTGTGTGGTGTGAGTGTGTGTGTGAGTGTGTGTGTGGTGTGTGAATGTGTGTGTGAGTGTGTGGTGTGTGTGAGTGTGTGGTGTGTGTGAGTGTGTGGTGTGTGTGAGTGTGTGTGAATGTGTGTGTGTGTATGTGTGGGGTGTGTGTATGAGTATGTGTGTGGGGTGTGTGTGTGTGTGTGTGTGTGTGTGTGTGTGTGTGTGTAGGTGCACAAATACCATATCATGCATGTGGAGGTTGGAGAAAGGCCTGCAGGGATCCGTCTCTCCCTCTAACAGGTGGGTTCTGAGGATGGCACTCAGGTTCAGACTTGGTTACAAGTGCCCTTAGCCACTGAACCATCTCACCAGACCCTGTTTTGCTCTTGAGAAGGGTCTCACTGTTTAGCTCAGGCTGGCCCAGAACTTAGGGTCCCCCTTCCTCAACCTTCTGAATGTTGGGATTATAGGCATGTACCATCACACTCAACCCAAACATAGTTTTGTGCCCTGGTCAGCCACGTGCACCTTGTGTGATCTTGGGAAAGCAGCCTGGCCTCGCGTGTCTCAGGTCCCATTTCCCCTCTTTCATTAAGTGAGAAGAGGGTATCTTATCTTGCTATTCCTACGCTGTTTCAGGGCTCACAGAGCACCTGATGAGGCAGCCCTGACTTGCCAACCCCTTCAGTCTTTGAAATCTCCCCTCAGTGTAATGTTCCAGAAGGAGGCCTGGTCCCCAAGTCTCTGTATCTGACTGAAGAAGAGCAGGAGCAGGCTGACCAGCTCCGGCAGTGGAGTGAGACCTACCATGCAGCCAGCGTGTTCCGCGGGACCCCCCACGAGGTGCCACCTGGTCTGGGAGGGCATGGCGGGGTGGTGTCCTGGATCATGTTCCTTCAGAGTGGGTGTGGGGTGATTCTGGTCACTCAGTTTCAGCTCTGTCCCAGCAGCTTTGGGACATGGGATGGTTGCAGAATCCCTGGCACCCGCAGTGCACCCCAAGTGACCAGGCCTTTCAGGGAGAGGTGGGGTTCTGGGAGGAGGGGAGAGTGGGGGAGTCTTAGCAGTTCACTCTGACCACAGGGAGACTGGTAGATGACCAGAGAACAACACCCTGACCCCGGGACTCGTCCACCTCTGCTCCCCTTATGCAGGTTGCCATGGAAATCCCAGAAGGGGAGTCAGTCATCACCTGGGACTTTGACATCCTCCGAGGAGACGTGGTGTTCAGTCTGTACCATGTGAAGCAGGCCCCCAAGCTGGGTCCCCAGGAGCCTGGGGTTAGAGCCAGTGGGCAGCTAATTGACAAGAGCTGGGTCCTTGGGACAGATTACAGCCGTGTAGAGGCGCCCCTCATCTGCTGGGAAGGTCAGAGCGTTCAGGTGTGTAGGCGTGGGCTGTGGTTACTAACTCGGCCTGGGCTATCAAGCATCCCTCCCAGGCCAGGGCTCTGGGGGGACAGCGTGGACAAAGTGGATGTGCTCCCAGCCTCTGGGACCCTGCAGGGCGACCGGGGAGAGAGCCCTAGTGTCTGTGTAATAGGAGGTCCCCCCTCCACTCCAGAAGGCTACATGGAGGGAGGAGGGGCACTAAGCTAAGAGGCAGCTGGAGGCCAACTGGAGCTGGGGCTTCAGTTTCTTCTGCATGAGGAAAAGAAATCATTAAAGGCCTAACTGGCCTAAGGGAGGCTGGGGTTGTAGCTCAGTCAGTGAAGCGCTTGTCTTTCTTGTAAACACAAAGACCTGGGTTTGATCCTCAGAACCTACGTGGAAAAAAAAGCCAGGTGTAGACACACACACTCTTGCACAAGCACATACATTCACGTGGGGGCCCCAAATGGCTACCACTGGTGCCATTTAAATCAAGCAAAATTTCTCATCTCTAAATTCAGGAGGCGACAGATCCAGTCAAGGAGCCTGGGGGGTTCCCTAAAGGCTGAGGAAGGGTTCTTTCCTGTCCCTTTCATGGGTCCCTGGCTTGTGGACACATAACTTCAGTCCCCACCCTTGCCTTCTATGGCTCTGTCCTCCATGTCTCTGTCTTGTGCCTCAAGTCCCCTCCCCATTCTCCTATAAGGACAGTGGTGGTCATGTTTAGGATTGACCCTAAATCCTTAGCTGACACATGGGAGAAGTAACCAAGTAAGGTCATCTTTCTGAGGTTCTGAGTGGACATGGATTTGGGGGGGAGCACTGTTCAGCCCATGTTATCACCTCATGGTGGGTGGAGGATGGGGCTTTGGGACTCAAAGTCCTGCTTCCCCATATGAGTTCATTACAGAGGGCCTTCAGGGTGGCTGGGGCTGGGAGAGGTGGAGGTGTCCTCCCGGGTGGGAGGAATGGCAGGACCAAGCTGGAGAAAGAAGCGGGAGACCTCATGGGCTGGGGTGAGTTGTGGGGCCAGAGGACGTCCGCACGGCAGGGCAAGTGGTAAGGCCCCAAGTTCAGCAGCCAGATCCAGCACCCCAAGACCCTGGCCTCAGAAGCTCCCGAACACCCCCCCACTATGAAGTTCTGAATGCAGGGCTGGGAGTCCATATCTCCTGCCTCCTGCCTCTGGCATGAATGTTTCCATCGCAGCTGAGGATCCATGGGTCTGGGCCAGAACATGGGTGTGTAACTGGGCTGTAAGCTACTTTGTTTATCCCCACAATCTCTCCATGAGGTCAATGTTACAGGTGAAATGTTACACACACACACACACACACACACACACACACACACACACACACACACACACACATTCTCTCTCTCAGACATACACATTGTACATACACACATTTACACATACACATATACATTTACACATAAACACACATGCACATGTATGCACACAGAGACACACATACACCCACACACACATATATACTCACACAGACACATACACACAGATGCACAGACACACCCACACAGACACTCACACACACATACACTCTCTCACACACACCCACATATGCATACATGTATATATATATATATACACATTCACATCGACACACAGTGAGAGGCCGCTGGCTCCGTGAGCATCATGGACCTTACTGAAGCTTCCGTGGAACAAATGACTCTTGCAGTCACAGCCAGGTCCACACCATCCCACTGGACACCCCCACAGTGTTTCCTCAGAGCTGCCCACTCTAACTGTCCTCCTCCCCGTCCCTGCTCCTCCACACATTCTCCCTAACACCCTCCTAGTGGCTTCTCAGAAGCCCTTGGATTGCAGACCTAACTCATTAGCAGAGACAGCATCCCACAGACCCATCTGCTGTCCTGCACCCCACACTCCAGGGTCTGCTCCCCCACATTAATCAGGAAGCTCTGGTCCCTGGGATATGGCAGTCATCACAAGGAGGCTTTGGAAAGCGCTTATAATGGATTTTCTGGGATACTGGAAAAGACCAAATAGAAAGAGACGCCATTCCCAAGCCTGGCTACAGAAAATCTACGAAGGCTCAACCTCCCATCCCGTCTCCAGGAGAACCTAATTCCCCATCTTGTCCTCAGGAGGACCCAGCCCCACATAGCATTAGGAAGACCCATGGCCCATATCATTCCCAGTAGGATGCAGCTCCCCAACCTGTCCCCAGAGAGACTCAACTCCTGTCTTGTTCCAGGGGACCCATCTTTCCATCTCATCCCCAGGAGGACCTGGTCTTTCTGTGGGTTCTGTGTTTCAGGGTTCCCATGTGACTCAGTGGCCTGGCATCTACCTGCTCCAGTGGCAGATTCACAGTCCCGCTGAGAGTGTGGCCTGCAGCCTCCCAGGGGTGGAGGATGTCCTGACGGCTCTGCACAGCCCTGGTCCCAAGTGTAAGCTCCTGTACTACTGTGAAGTGCTGGCATCTGAAGACTTTAGGTAGGGGATCCCTGGAGACTGGCTGCTCCTGTGATTGGGGACTGACTATGTATGCAGTGGCCTGGGGCCGGTTTCTCCTGGGTGGACACCAGCAGCCCTCTCTAGGAACTTAGTGTGAGGAAGAGGCTCAAATGCTGAACCTTCACCCTTTGTAGCAGCAGCAGAGCCTCCCTTCAGGGGTCTCAGTGCACAGGGCCAGGAGAGAGGCGGAGGGACCACCCTTCAATCCTAGATTCCTCTGTTTGCAACGACTCGAAAGTATTCTAGAGCAGTGCCTTATAGATAACCGTCTGCAGGTTGCTACTTTGGGTTATTAAGGACCCCCTGCCCCCCACTGAGCTTCCCAGTTACCGTCTACAGAGGAGACAAGTCCCTTCAACTCCCTGAGGTATAGGAAGCCCAACTACTACATGGGAACCATTGAAGAGATGGTTCACTTGGCACACAGCGGGCACTCAGAAGTGACCGGGCAGCCCGGAGGTGGAGCAGGCAACGTCTTCAATTTCTTCCCCCTTTTTGCATTTTATTTTAATTTCTCACTAGTTTTGAGTCAGGGTCTCATGAAATATAGGTTGGCCTTGAGCTCACTATGTGGCTGAGGGAGATCTTGAACTCCTGATCCTCTTGCCTGCCAAGTGCTGGGGTCACATGTGTGCACCTCCACACCTGGCTTTATGTGGTACTGGGACTCAAACCCAGAGTTTCATGTGTGCCAGGCAAGCACTTTAGCAATGTAACTATGTCCATCCCTTTTATTTCACTAGTAAAGGACAAATGTAGCTATATGAGGTAGAGGCCAAGATAGGAGGATCCCAAGTTTGAGTCTAGCCTGGGCTACATAATAAGACACTATCTCAGAAAACCAAAAGAAACTAGAAAGTTCTTTCTGGCCAGCTCTGACCTGATATCTGGAGTGGGGTTAATTGTTAGCCTAGGCTGGCTTGGGATTCACAATCCTCCTGCCTCCACCTCTGGTGTGCTGGGTTTGCAGATTTGTGCCACCATACTTAGTTTTGACTGAAGAAAACCAGAGAGAATGAGCCTGGGACTGAGCTATTCCCAGGCTATGGGTTTCTCTGCTCCGTTCTAGTCAGTGTGGCTCTCGGCTGCAGCAGGCCTGACTGGTCCCTGGGAACTGGGTCCAGGGAGCTGGTAGCTCCTCTTTGCTCATTATGGCATCACTGACTTTCCCTCTGCATCGGTTAGTCCCTGGTGGTGGTTAGCAGCATTGAGGAAGGAGCCCTGGGGCCTCATGTACAGTATTAACAGCTCTTGCCTGGGAGATAACTTAAGGTGTACACATGCTTCTTCCCCAGGGGCTCCATGTCCAGCCTGGAATCCTGCACCAGCCGCTTCTCTCAGCTCAGCGCCACCACCTCTTCCTCCTCCTCTGGACAGTCCCACAGTGGCTCAGTGGTGTCCAGATAGCTGACCGGGAACCTGCTGGCAGCCCGAGTGCTTCTGGTACCAGGCAGCGTCCAGGATGAGAAGAGGGCCAGTCCAGACATCTGGGACCATGCTGGATATAGGGTGGCACAGCTGGGGTGTGGGGACCCCACAGCAGAGATCCAGCTCTCTGCCTGTGTGCAGAAGGAGCCTTACTTCACCGCCCTTGAGGGGACAAGGACAGGCCCGATTCTTTTGAATTTCTTTTAAAAGCTGAGACCTCATGGATGCTCCATCTCCTATGTCCAAGACCTGGAGACTAGAGCTGGGACAGGGACTGGGCCCCGACTCACCATTGACTGTGCTTCTAATAGGTTGGCCCTTTCCTCAGGGAGGCCTTTTCTACCAAGGGATCATCACTGTTCGGTGCCGTCACCCATCTCCCAGGAGAGTACAGAAGGGAACTTCGCCCGTAATATGCTTTATATTGTAATAAGCAAAAAACTGTTTCATTTACTAGAGACATATGCTGGAGCATTGTCAGTTTTAATTTGTACAGGTATACCCATGATGGCTATAACTTCTAGCAAACCTGTGATTAAAGAATTAGCCTTCTCAGAACTCAAAGCAGTTGGCCACTGAAATCCTGAACAGGTATCAATGGTGTGGTGTATATATTTCAGTTTTCTAAATTCTACAAAATGAAACATATCCATCTGCCAGATTTCATTCCTCTGAGTAACCTTTGGGTTACATCCTGCTGGTAGTGGAATCTGATTATATAAAGAACAAGTGGGACATTTCCTTATAATTTCCTTGGCTTGTTTCCAGGTTATAGAAAAATTCTTTTTTAATACTATTTACATGATTTTTTAAAATGAAACTCTGAGGCCTCCAGCACATTTCCTATCAATAGTTGATCAATTTCATCATTTCCTTGTGCTAGAGGGCCTAGCAGACCTGTTTGGGATCAGATGTGAGTTATATATAAGGGATGATTCTTATCCTGATTATTTCTTATAACTGAGTAAATAAGGAAGTTAATTCTGACTCATTAAGGATAAATTCAGCAGTTTCAATATGTAAGACCACTCTTTTGACATACTGAGAGTCAGTAACTATGTTGACAGGTTCCAAGAAATCCATTAATACCATAAGAATGGCATATAATTCCGATGTTTTGACAGAATTATAAGGACTTTGAACCACTTTACTTATATTTTCTGATTTGTAACCTGCCTTTCCTTGTTTGTTTGCATCAGTATAAAATGTAGGGGCTCCAGATAGTGGTGTTTGCTGTACAATGAGAGGCAGGATCCAGTTAGCTCTCTTTGTAAGTTTAATTCTATGGTTTTTGGGATATATGTTGTTAATCTCTCCCCCAAAAATTACTGCAATCTTTTTGACAAGGTTCACTTTCTGCCCATAATTCTTCAATTTAATCATTAGTTAAAGGTACTACAATTTCTGCTGGGTCTATTCCTGCTAATTGATGAAGTCTCAATTTTCCTTTTAAAATCAACTCAGAGATCTTTTTCACATAAGTTTTAATTTTTTACTCTGTTTATTTGGTAGAAATATCCATTCTAATATAATATCTTCCCTCTGCATTAAAATTCCTGTAGGAGAATGCTTAGAGGGTAAAATAACAAAATGCAATCAAGCTTTGGATTCACACGATCCTCACGTATATCCTGTATTTTCTTTCCCACCAAAGCCAATTCTTTCTCAGCTTCAGCTGATAATTCTCTTGGACTATTTAAGTCCTTGTTACCCTCTAAGGTTTTGAACAAATTACTCAGTTCATCATTTTTACCCCAATAGTGGTCTATAGATTAGAAATGTCTCCAAATAATCTTTTAAAGTTATTAAGAGTCTGTAATTGATCTCTCCTAATTTGCACCTTTTTTGGGTCTAATTTTTTGTAGACCTATTTTTTTGTTTTGTTTTTTGAGACAGGGTTTTTCTGTGTAGTTTTAGTGCCTGTCCTGGATCTTTCTCTGTAGACCAGGCTGGCCTCAAACTCACAGAGATCCGCCTGCCTCTGCCTCCTGAGTGCTAGGATTTAAGGCATGTGCCCTGTATAAATTTTGTAAATGACTCATTTCCCCCCTACTTCTCCAATTCTGTCCCAAGCATTCAGGGCTGCCATGTGGCATTAAGCTAGAGTGTTGTAGTCATATAAAGATTGTCTTTGTATATCAGCATAATTGCTCTCTCCAAGAAGTTGATCTTGGGAAATTTCCATACCTTTTATATCATTATTCAATGGTCTTAGCCTCGTCTTTCCATGAAGTCCTCCATTGTAAGTGGGGACCAACCTCTAAGACCATAATGGAGAGTGCATACCATATGAGACTATAACTTCTTTGAATATCCTCAAACCTAACATTTTTGCAGGAGTCCAATCAGCTCATACACAGCCTTGAGCATTTGGCAGTTCCTGTAAGGTTACTGGATAGATTAAGGTTGGCTGTTTGAAACCTTAGGCCGTTTCTCTGTAACTGTAATGCAATGTTGAGATTGTTTTACTTTTAAATTCTTCTGTCTGGGTCTGAATTTCTCTATGATCTGTTCTAACAAGTTTTTATAAAATTTTTATCTTGGCACTCACATTAACCAACTTTTTAAATGTTAAAACAGAAATGATCAAACAAATAATATTTATAATTAACATTACATCTATCCCATCAACATTAGTTATCCTCTCATCTAATTGTTCCATTTTTCAGACCGTCTAATGTGTTATCAAACAGAGACCAAACAACCTCCATTGTAAAAATGTATCCCATTTTTTAATGTGGCAAAAAATTATCTTTTAACTAATTTCTTCCTTTAAGAAATCTTAATTGACTCACCAACTCTGCTGGCTGTGTAGAACAGTAGAAGCCCAAGTGGGTTTCAAGGCAGCTACTTAGAGTGATAGCAGCCAGAGATGGGGATCCAGGGAGAGCCCACACCTCACCAGGAGAGAAGAAGAGAAATCTCCAGCTGGCTGGATCCAGCCAGTTAGGGACTCCGGCCCACATGGGGTGGAGACTCTGGCCACATGCAGCTCAGGACTGAGCTGGGACCTGCAAGGCCACAGGCTGGTGTTTTTTTGTTTGTTTTTTGTTTTTCTTTTTGTTTTTGTGAATTTGTACCACAAACATTGGGTGCCAGATGTAACACGAAGCTTAAAAGGTCTTATAATAAAAATCCCGGAGCCAGACATTGGGGTGAAAGCTGAAAGATCAGAGAAGCAGAACAACCAGCCACTATCTTACCTCTATGAAATCCTCAGCCTCAAGAGAGCAAGTTCCTGTACCCTCCTGCTTTATATACTTTTCTGTGTCCTGCCATATTACTTCCTGGGATTAAAGGCGTGTGTCACCACTGCCTGGTTCTGTTTCTCTCATGTAGCCCAGAGTGGCCTTGAACTTACTGAGATCCAGATGGAACTCTGCCTCCCAAGACAAAGATTAAAGGTGTGTGCCACCACTGCCTGACCTCTATGTCTAATTTAGTGGCTGGCTCTGTTCTCTGATCCCAGGTAAGCTTTATCGGGGTACACAATATATCACCACACTGATCTGCTCACAAACTGGACGACCTTCAGAGCAGGTCCTGGCCCCTGGCCTGCAGTGAGCAGGACAGCAGCTGGGGTGGGAAGGGAGCTGAGGCTGCAGACTTCCTGAACACTGGGGCCCCAGATGGACCAGCTGTGGTCCACCAGCTGATGACCAAACATGTCCTAGAGGCTTCTCTCAGCCTCTGGATTATGAGGCTGCAGTTCACACCTAAAGCCTGTGGAGGCGGGAACAACCACAGGTGACTTGGTTACACCCGTTAGCAGTAAGGAATCTGAGCACGTCTCCTCTTCATCTCTCAGTTTAATTGGGTTTTTAAAAACATTTTTATGGCTGGGCGATAGTGGCGCACACCTTTAATCCCAGCACTCGGGAGGCAGAGCCAGGCGGATCTCTGTGAGTTCCTTGCAAGCCTGGGCTACAGAGTGAGTTCCAGGACAGGCTCCAAAGCTACACAGAGAAACCCTGTCTCAAAACAACAACAACAACAACAACAACAATAATAATAATAATAAAAACATTTTTATGAATTCCTTGAGAATTTCATACAATGTATTCTGATCATGCTTACCCTAGAATCCTTCCTCTAACTCCTTCCAGATCAACCATCAGCTACCTACCTGCCAGCTTTGTTCCTGCCAAAATAAAACTGATGGATTGGAGCTGTACGTATAGTGCAGGGTATGTGTCCACCCACTGGAGCACAGGAAACAACAGGATCCACACCCTTAGAGACAACTGACCCCTTCAGGAGAAACCATCAGCTCCCCACCCCTCCTCAGCTGGCGATTAGGGCACATGAGCCCCTCGACCCTCTGCGCTGGAATGTGACGGGCTTGATCTTGTTCAGGTCTTATAGAGGCAGCCACAGATGATGGAAGTTTGTCATTACAGTGGTCTGCTCTTGTCCAGAACACACTGTCTCACTCTGGTCCTCTCTGCTCTTCTTTCATGGTGTCCCCTGATCAAGGGGAAGAGGGTGATACAGATGTCCCATTAGTGACTGAGCACTCCATTGGCATTTACTCTCTGCTTTTTGAACAATTGTGAGTTTCTCTGTTAACCACCCTACATGGCACAAAGAAACTGAGGAGGTCGGAGAGCTGCACTAATCTATGGGAGTAAACAGGAATATGGAGACATTTTCACACCCAGTTCATTTAGCACAATAATAGTAGGTAGACCCATGGGACCAGTGAGCCCCTCAACCATGTGGTTGGGCTCATGGACAGGTTTACAGTACTTTTTAAAAGTTGAATGAATTTTCACTGGTAAATAGTAACAAAAATTATGCACATAAATATCCTGATATTATGGAAAAATAAAAGGAGGCTATTCATGAAACAGTGACTCGGCCACCCTGAGATCCAGCAATCATACTCCTGGGTAGAGATCCAGGCGACACAGCCAGTGTGTCAGAGGTTTGCTCACAGGCTCACAGCAGTGCCATTCACAAGAGCCAAGAACTGGGAACCACCAAGTGCCTGTCAGCTGGTGAACAGGAAGGATGTGGGGCAGCCACAGTGGGAACTCCTCAGCCGTCTCCACCTCCAGTTACAAATCAGATGTATGCTCCTTTACAGCGAACACTGACCATCGTCTATGCATGAGTAGCAGCAACTTGTGGCTTACATTGTGCTATCGAGTGATGTCACTCATTCTGTTCATCATTATGATGAACATGCTGCTTCATGACAGTTTTAATGCAGATGTGCAGTATGAAATCTGTGTCCTTTATGAGATGGGATAGGGCAGTGGAAGATCTGAATTCCCACCAGGAAACACTGGGCAGCGAGGCTCCCCCTAATTCTACTGTCAGAGACTTGAAACTGCAGATCCTGGGAGAGACTAGGCTGGCTGAAAACTGACCCAAACTTCAGCTACTGAGAAGTAAATTTATGGGGGTCATTAAACCTGAACCACACATAAGTGTGAGTTTCAACATAGAATTAACACACCAGTGTGCCCTTTGATGTTGGTGCAGGTGACTTGACAATTACTCCACTTTAAGTTCTCATTCCAGGATTTTAACCAGGTTTGGCCAGAATTTGACCTTGCGCCCCTCACGAGAGGGTGATACTTTGAGGAGAGGGAACCAATAATGAATGATACTGGTCTCTCTGTGCTCAAATATATGGGTATGTAACCTGTGTTCCATGTCAGATGGTCAGCTACAGCTACAATGAGCCTGTGCAGGAGAGAGCACATGGCCAGACTTGGGACACAACAATGGTGACTCCTTCCCTTGCTGGAAAAGCCTGTCCTTCCATCAGGCACTCTGACTTCCCACAGTCTCCAAATGACACCCATAGGGTCCTCATGCTCGTGAGTCATGTAACATGGGAGCCTATCTGAATGCAAAAACACAGTGCAACTCCCCGAAAACATCCTCATGCCAGACACTTGGTCTCCAGAGGGAGAGCCAGGCTGATTCAGACAAGGTTTAAAGCTTCTCACACTTATCCACTGAACTTTCCACATTCTGAATAACTACAGAGAATGCACAGTGGCCCCATGGCCATGTGTGCCCAGCAATCCCCAGTGTTGGGTGTCAGTCATGTTTTACACCCACCACCCCGTCATGAGAAACACTGGAAACCTGGTGTTTGAGGCTGCAGCTCCTGCACAGGGGAAGCATGGACTTGACAGAGTCCCAGGAAAGAGCAGGCTAACAGAACGGGCTCCCAACACTGCATAAAGTGCAAATGCATGTGGACAGTGGCATGAGACATATCTAGACAGGATGATTATTCACAAACACAGTTATTCGGGTGGAAGGTCCACTGAGGATAGGACAAGTGAAAGCATGTGCTCCCAGGATTCTCACACCTCATTCTGGGCTCTGTCTGTAATTCATTCTATTGTGGCTCGTGAATGCTGTGTATTTATTCACTACTGATCTATATATTTTCATACTGTTCCCTTTAAAACTAAGGGCCACTGGTCTTGCAGCCAAACACTCAGCTAATAACCCACCACAAGCTAAAAGATTAGTGGTGCAGAGGGAAAATAGGAAACGAGGTATGGTTACATTTGGAGCCAGATGCAAGGGGCAGAGATGGCACCTTGCAGGTGAATGCCAGCAATAAACCATGATGCCTATGGAGAATCTGAGATGCTGAGACAGAGGGTGAGTTCAGACATTTGAGATGAGGAAGCAGCACTGACCAACTGTGTGCCTCCTCTCAAGGATGCAGTGACCTCAGAAGAGATGGAGGGCTGCCACAAGATGCATGGAAGTGATTCCCATGGAGGTGTCTCTGTGAAACACTTCCAGCTACTTTCCCAATCTATGTGTTTCCAAGGATGCTTGACACAGTTTGGGAGAGAATAAGGATGGGCCAAGCTGGGAGGTAACTGAGGCCAGGATGCCCTTTGGGATTCTCAGAATGAAGTGAGGTGAGGTCTCTGTGATGTCACAGGTAAATCTCTGCTGCAGAAACATCAGTGTTCTTTGACTGGAGCAACACAGAGTCCACCAAGGAGGGCTGGGATTTGAAGCAGGCCCAAGTGTCTAGGTAAGTTTGGGATGTTTTCTGGGATGGATGCTACCTGAAATTCATCGTGTGAGTGACTCAGTCAGTGTGGGGCACTTCTTCATTGAGGCCTTAAATGGGGAGAATGAAACATAGTGAGGTCATTGAAATGTTCCTGTCTGAGGACAGCTCATCCTAAGAACTTGAAAGATCAGGGGTCAGACATCTTATAGCAGTGGGACTGCTCCCTCAAGACCACAGGGAGAGACACCCCTCATCTCACCAGGGAGAGAGGCCTTAAGATGAAGCTGCACAGGTGTCTCTAGGCCAGGACTCAGCACCCAGCATAGGTAACGAAGAAGGATCCATTCCTGTTTGAATGGCCACATTAGACCAGCACACATGGCTTCTCCAGGGAAGGTAGGAAAAGTACCCGGGGGACTGCCATCTGCTCTTCCTCGAGGACTCCAGTCCCTGCAGTGGCAATGTTTTCATTTGTACTCAGCTGTCACAGTATGGAAACAAACATCAATGTCACCATCAGAGGACACACCATGAGAGCACTCTGCCCTCCAGTTCTGTGATTACGGACATTTGCACTTTGTACGTGTGCTCGTGTGTGTGCTCTGTCTGCAGGTCCATGTCATACGTGGGAAAGTGCTTACAGGGGACACGGAATGCTGTCATGTGTCTTCCCTACCAATATACACATTGTCATATGAGACAGGGTAACTTTATGTTCAGGCTTTGTTCATAAGATGAACTCACCACAGGGAACGCCTTCCACAGTGCTGGGACAGAGTGCTCCTCACAGTTTGGGAAACCATGGCTGTTCCTCATGCTGCAGTCAGGCACAGAGGAATAAGCTGGACAGAGGTGTGGTCAAGCCTCTGTTACCTCATATAA